TCACCAATTTGAAACATAAAAGACATCAAAAAATATATGAAACTGTTTTAAATTGATTGTATTTTATTAAAAAAAATCAGTATCTTGTCAGGTTTCCTTTACTTTTTAAAACAGCATCCACCCTTTGTGGCATACTATCTATTAATCTATTAATTCTTTCTGAGATAGTGTTAAACCATTCCTCTTTTAATAAATTGAATAGTTCTGTCTTATTTTTTGGTTTTGGGTTTCTCATTCTAAGTCTTCTTTTTAAACCCTGCCATAAATTTTCAATAGGATTGAGGTCTGGACTTTGAGCATGCCAAGGGAGAACCATAATATGATTTTCTTCTTTCCATTGATTTGCTATGACATGGTGCATTATCTTCTTGAAAAGTAAACACATGACTACAACCACGACCATCATCATCATCACTATCACCATCGCCACCACCATCACCACCACGATTCTTCTCCTTAATTCATTAATATAAGATAGTAAACTTTCTGCAAGAAGTTTATTATAACCAATTGCATTTAATTTACCTTCAACTAATGCTAATGGACCCATTTTTTCTCTTGTAAAACATCTCCAAACCATAATTCCATCAGATTTTTTTACTGTTGGACTTAAATTTTCTTTATTATATTTTCCCCCTGGCTTCCTCCAGACCCAATCATTTGAATCTTTTTGAAACAACTCAAATCACTAAATATTATTTTATCCCATTCATTACTACTCCAATTTTTTCTTGCATGACACCAGTATAACCTTTTTTTCCTATTTACATCAGAAACAAGAGGTCTTTTCTTCCATAAACATTTTTAGAATGTAATGTTTGTCTGATAGTCTTCTCACTTGCTATAATGTTTGACTCTTGACTAATTTAAAAGCAGTTGTTTTAGTATCCTTTTTTACTGCTTTCATAAGTTGTCTTTCATCATGCTCTGATAAATTTTTAGGTCTGCCAGGTCTAAGAGCTGCAGTTGTTTTATTTTTTGAAAAATAATCATTAGCAATCTTTTTGACTGCACTTTTGGATCTATTTAATATACAAGCTATTTCTCTATAAGAAAAATTGGCTTTTTTTTAAGCCAACGATTTCTCCATGTTTGAATTCAGATAATTGAATAGCTTTGGGCATTTTTTAAGTTCTCTTTAAAAAAATAAAATGTGATTTTTTTCGTTTGAGAATTTTATATGACATCTTGGTAATTAATTTACCAAATGATCTAGAATTTTAGAAGTAACTAGATTTAAACATAAGACGCATTTTTTACTTATACCACAAAGGTCGTTAGAACTTGCCATTGCAGTCAATTTTCGAGGCGAAGATTTTTTTGAAAATTCCGAAAAATTCTTTTTTATTTTTTAAGGTTCGTAAAACAACAAATGTTTATTTATATGCGGCGAAACTTCATTATATTATACTATTTGATATGGAGATGAGTTTTTACTTAATAAGCAAATGTGGTTAGGATAATAAATTTTTTATTTTTTTTTCATGTTTATTATTTCCGATGATCTGCAAGTGTCCTTATATTTATGACCAGGAAGTGTAGGTTGGATGTGCCCCTGTTGCACCCTCACGATGATTTTTTATTGTATATACTTTGGATTAGGTTAAGTGAAGATCCTAATTGCATGACCTGTTAATTGCTTTCCTTGTAAAGGGAAGAACAACGAAATTACTCCATCATGAAAAATAATCCATTTACTGGCACTGTCGCATGTGACTTTGACGATAGGTTTGCACCAGGACAAATCTATGTGACGATGAGTAGAACTCCTTGTGATTTGCTAGATATTCTTTCGTTTGCTTGAAGGTTGGATAAAAAATGTTATAGATGAATATAAAAGATTAAACCCTTTATTTTCTTTTTTCAAGTGATAATAACTAAAAACGAGGCATGATTTTTATAAAATAGAGGGATATTCAACACTTGACCAATTTTGGATATAATTCTTCACATTATTATTATGTTTTTTTTTCTGTTAACACCGAAGATCATCGTCCCTTGTTTATGACAACCATTATCATCAATCACCAGTCAAAAAAATATGATAAGAAAGGTAGGCCTCGTGAGAGCTTCATTTGGCAACACTTTAGTAACGATGGAGGTGTAAGAACGTGCCAAGTTCAAGTAAAAGTGTCTTCTCAAAATCCAAATGGAATATGAGTTTTTTCTTTTATATTAATAGTAAATATAATTTAGTAATTTTACAAAATTTATCAAAATTACGAATAAATGTTTGAAATAATTATGAGCGTTCGAAATAAACATACGTAATTTAAATGATTACAAGCATTTGAAATAATTACGAATATCTGAATATCTGAAACAACAAATTACTTGTTACAAATTCAAATATTTGAAATTCGTAATTTTGGATTTACGATTTACGAATAGGGGTCAGTATTAGGATTACAGTTAGGGACCTAATATGATGCCCATAGGTTTTACAATCTCAAATCACATTATTATATAGGCTTTAGAGCAATTTTATATGCATGACTTTCAAAACCTATGCTATATTCTGATATGATTTTTTTGTGCAATTATTATGTAATTGAGTGATTAATGAATTTAGGGTGTCCGAAACTTTTGCTAAGGTACCGTATATTTTATGATTCCTGGGCACACAATTTTATTTTATTAATATTGATATTGGCCCAATTGTACAGAAGAAAGAACTGGTCTGGAAGGGGCGAGGCAACTTTCTGTAAACTTTTTATCTATCTATTTTCTCAGTACCATAGTTATTACAACACAAATTAGCTTGTGTAATCATAAATCTTCCAATCCGATGACTCTTTGTTAATTTCGTTTATTTTTTGAGTTTCCTCACCACTACCGCCAATTATAGCAATTGAATATGATTTCATTTCATCCTGTTGTTTCAAATATTTATAAGCAGCTTCTTTTACATCATCTTCAGTAACAGATAATAATTGTTCACGCCGCCTACAAACCAAAAAAAAAAAAAAAGAATTAAAACCAAAGTTATTTATAAATTTAAAGAGTGAATAAATGTGTTAAATACTTTTGTCTAAGATCGTCCGTAATTTTATCGGTGAAATACACAAGACCTTCTTGTGATACACTTATTGGAGCGTCTATACGTTGGAATAATGATAATTTTGCTTCATCCAATTCCTACAGAGAAATTATTAGATAATAAACACATGAACATATAGAAAATTATATAAAGTATATAAATTATTACTTGTTTTGAGAATTTTCTTTCAAACAACCAATTAACTGATTCTGCATAAGTGTTCAATGTTTCGAATGCTTTAGGATCTCGATAAGAAAAAAAAGAGAAAATTCCTGTTTGACTGTTATAAGTTGAACCACCACCATATGCGCCATTTTTCTCTCTGATCTCTCGATGTAAATAATGAGCCCTCATTAATGCTGATAAAACCTAATTTAAAAGTTATTAAATAATTAGTGCATATGTTAAAGTCATACATACATCTTTGAATTAGAAAATTTATAAATAAAGACGATACACTTAATTTGGCTCCGTCAGAATCAGTGAATGGGACACCTTTAAAACATTTTGCTGAAAAGTTTACAGCGAATGGTAATTGAAACAGTGCTTTTTCATTCTTTGCTTGAAACTCGAACTAGTTATAAAATTTAATATTAATTGATGCAACCCTTTAAAACAGACATTAAAATAAATAAATAAATAAATTATTAATTGTTAAATTTCTTTCGCTTAATTTACCTTTTCTGAGCTCGATTTTCTATTATTTGTTGGCAGACCATTTAAAAATTTAGATAAATTATGCTCGTTTTGATTTACAGCTTCTTCACCACATGTTATCGATATTTTCAGTGAATTTTTACTAAAAAAATATAATGACAATTCCTATATTAAAAAAAAAAAAAAAAAAGATAATGTAAATAACTAATATTTATTAAATCTTATTTTTAATGCAAAAAAAAAATTATCCTTTAGATTACTTTTAATTTTTCGGTAACATTTTGAAAATCTTCCAATAATGCCAACTTATTCATGAAATTAACTTGTGTCATACCACCATATATTTCTGTCAAATTCTATTTTTAAATTATATATATTTAGATAAAAGGTTTAAAGGTGCAATTTAACATTAATAACAAAGTTAATACCAAGGAAGGAGTCAAGGTTGAGGCGGCATAAGTTTTTGCAAACTCATGGCCCGATTCCACGACAACATTTGGCATGTTTGTTGCATTCTGGATAATTAAAATGTATCAAAGTTATGTTAATACTTGAATGATAACTATAGTGATAAAATCTAATAACTTACAGAATAAATAATAGATTTTAGTTTTGCAACATTATCAAAGTTTGTTTCTTGTATTAAATATCGAATAAAATCATACATATGATTGATATTCCTATCAAGACTATGAGACGCTATTGCTAAACCATCATCATATTCATTCAGGTCTATCGTAATATTAAATAAATAATTATAATAATACCAAAGACATGTTATGAAAGTATGATAACTTTATTTATTACCTGAATGATTTGTTGACAAAAATGTAGACATGTTAATTCCACCTGTATAAAGACGGATATCGTCGTCAATTTCGGCCATACTTTTTGATTTTGTTCCTAAAGAAGTTAATGACTAATTGAATAATAAAAAGCAAGTTGATAACAGTATTCACATTATATAATTCTGGTTTTGATTAAAGTATTAATTTACAAGTATATCACAATACCTGAGCAAACAAAGGCAAATATAATCTTAATTCATTAGGTAATCCATCTAATTGACTAATAGCTCTAAAATAAGTAATTCCATTAGTGGAGGCTTTTCTCCATTGTACGTTGACATCATTAATATCATTGAACATTAATTCAAATCTATTGATTTCTTTTGGTATATCTGAAATTTTTAATGTGGGCAACACTGATATATCTTCTTTTTTTTCTTGATTTTTAATTAAGTCCAAATTTTGCTTAAAAATGATGTCTTTATCACTATTTGATAATTTTGAAACAATTTTTTGTAGTCTATTTTGTTCTTCATTATTTAAGGATTCTGAAAAGGAAGGATTTGGCTTCATTATGCAGATTAAAGTATGAGGGTTGTTCAAAAAATATTTTGAAATTAGATTCTGAAAAAATGGTTCTGACTTTATTTTTCCTTTCAATTTATCGAGATTCTAAATTATAAAATAAGGAAGGAATAAGTTTCAAAACATAACTAACAAAACAAAAAAAAAAGCTTTTACACATATAATTACCTTGTTAATCTGTAAAATTTCGATGGGATCTGCATTATTAAACCATCCTGAACTTAATCCATGCATTAAATTCAAACCAAAATCCGATGTTTTCTATTTTATAATTATTAGTAAAAATAAATGAATTTTTAATTAACCAAAAATTAAGACTTGTAATAATTATCAAGTTACATGTTTTTTCCCTAGCTCTGTTTGATGAATAGCCGCATCCACTCTTTTCATATCAAATCCATGATTGTATACATTTTCCAATACATCTTTAATTGTTTTTTCTGCCTTAATAAAAAGAAATGAAATATATTATATGACATCCATTACATTGCGTACTAAAAAAAGTTGTAATGAAAAAATTAACTTACTAATTCTACATCTTGTAATCTCATTCCTTGAAGACCTATTGAAAAATAACTTGTTCTTTGACAAATATAACAATATAGATTATTTTTAGATATAGATAACTTTATAAGATTATCGTGATAATAATTTTAACTTACCTAACTGAAGGATCATAGCCTGTATTTTCCGAAAAGTCTGACCCAATATTACTATCTATCAATGCTTTATACATCGGTGAAGCATGTCCTTCCAATAAAAGATAGGAAAAAATTTTTAATGCAAATGTATCAAAAACATCCTAAAATAAATAAATATACATGTGTTTGCGCATAAATCAGTAAAAAAAATATATAGATAATATTATTTGATAATAATTTATAAAAGTTTAACGGTAAACCATAAATTTAAAATTTAACCTTTATATCATTGGTTAAAAAAGATATTGACATTTTTGCTTGCTTTTCAGGATTATTTACTTCAATGTAAATAATCATCAATCAATTGATTAAATAATTTTTATCATTCTATTGACTACAATTAAAATATAAATTTCTCTTACATGGATCTAAAGGTCCGTCAAACGAAATCCTTCGCGGTGAATTAAAGGGTTCGACAACTTTATTTCCTTCATCCAGTGTTACTTTATCAAATTTGCTAATTTTATTATTAATAGCATATAAATGATCTTCCAATCGAAAATTACCTATTTGTTTTAAAAAAAACGAATTTCTTTTTTTTAATGTTATAATTATACATTTGTATTTAAAATAAATATGAATTTTTACCATATGTATAGAATTTTACATTGCTGGGATGGTAATGAAATTTATGAAATTGTTTCAATTCATCATAGGTTATATCTGTTATATATTTAGGATCGCCCCCACTATTGTAACCATATATTGTATTGGGAAACATATATTGTTGAACTTTTGAACAAAAAAGGTACCCCGCATCTGACTTTATATATTGATTATAATAAATATATGAATTTTTTTTTTTGAGATTAATAAATAAAATTAATATCAATAATACATATACCATTTGTCCTTTCATTTCATTATATACGATTCCTTTGAATTGTAGTGGGGTTGAACTATCTAAATGAAATAATTTAAACTCTAAATATTTATTCTCTCTTTTTTCATTGAAAATAAATATAAATAATACAAATACATGAATATAATAAGTTTAATTAAATAACTCATGACACCTTGTGGATCCTGATTTTCAAGCCTCCAACCCTCTTGTTTAAAATTTAATTCTCTTAGGATAGGATGAAAAGTTGAATCCATATATACATCTCTTAGATTTTCATAATCGAGCTTATTAGTAGTGGAAAACGGATACAAGGTATAATCACTTGCTGCTTAAATGAATATTATTTAATTATGATTAGTTCAGTCAAGGTGTCCGAAAATTTGTCAAAGTTACCTGTATATGCGTTCATAAAATTTGCTAAACTACGGTTCAGCATTTTAAAAAATGGATCGTGAACAGGATATTTATTACTGCCACATAACGTTGTGTGCTCCTAATTATTAATTAATAAAAATAAATCACAATCCAGGCATTGCTTTTTTCTTTAAAAAAAAGATATCTTGGGTGAAAAACTATTAAATAATTTGTAACTACCAAAATATGAGGTGTACCATTATTGTTTTTAGGTGGCGTTGAAAATCCTATACCAAATACATTATTGTTATCATCTCTTGAAATATGCAAATGTTCCGCTCCTGTTGATTCGTGTCGTAGCCTTGTCGCTGTAAGCTCAAGCTCTGGAATAAATGTATTCTTTACATATATATATATATATATATCGTGTATATGGTACATCAAGTTAAAGATTATCAATAATAATAAAATTTAATTGTTTTCATTTTTTCGTTTTACCTGTTCAACAGAAAATCCAAGTAAACGTTCCCCAGTCTTAAAAGCTTAAAATTATTTTATAACTGATTTAAATAAAATTTATCAGGCTTTTTTGAATATAATATATGCTGTTGTGATAATTACCTTCTTGTACAAAAAATTTTTTACCATAAGATTTTGAATTTAAAGTTAAATTGTAATTTCTTACTACTGGCTTAGTGAAAAATTGGAATTTTGACATTTTCGAATGATAAAAAATTATCTGATTATCATAAAAAATTATTCATCCAATAAAATTTATTCAATAATTTTTTATTATTATCAAAAAAAAAAATCTTTAAAAATGGTTAAAAAAGCGATAGATTCAAGAATTCCTACACTAATAAAAAATGGTGTCCAAAACAAATTTCGTACGTTTTTCATAATAGTTGGAGATAAAGGCAAAGATCAGGTATTTTTGTTTTAATTAATAATGTAAAAATAAACAATGATAAACAATATTAATTGAAACTTACTTTGAAAGGTTGTAAATTTACATTGGTTATTATCACAAGCTCAAGTAACTGCAAGACCGTCAGTTTTATGGTGTTATAAAAAAGAATTAGGCTTTAGTAGGCATGTGATTTTTTTTACAATTAAATATATTTTTTAATATGGTTCTAATAAATCGATTATTCGTTTGTTGAATTAGTCATCGTAAAAAAAGAGAGGCCAAAATAAAAAAAGAGATTAAACGTGGCATAAGAGAACTTAATACGGAAGATCCATTTGAACTTTTTATTTCAGTTACAAATATTCGATACACTTATTACAAAGAAACTCACAAGATATTAGGAAACACATACGGAATGTGCATTTTGCAGGTAATTGGACTTTGATTGGTTGGTTGATTGATTGATTTGCTTACTTTTCAATAATCTATACAATTATCCCGATAGGATTTCGAAGCATTAACACCAAATTTATTGGCACGAACAATTGAGACTGTAGAAGGTGGCGGAATTATAGTATTGTTATTAAAAACAATGAGATCACTTAAACAATTATATACATTGACAATGGTAGCTATTTATATTCTTTTTATTATTTATCATAATTTAATAATGGTTGTTATTGTTATTATGTTTGATTTCAGGATGTCCATTCACGATATAGAACAGAATCTCATGACGATGTAATAGCAAGATTTAATGAAAGATTTATACTTTCTCTCGGATCATGTGAAAATTGTCTTGTAGTTGATGACGAATTAAATGTTTTACCGATTTCAGCGGGTAAAAATGTAAAACCTATCCCAGCGAAACTAAGCGAAGAATCATTAGCAGAACAACAAGTAGAATTAAAAGAATTAAAAAATTCTTTAATAGACACTCAACCAATTGGTTGCTTGGTTAATACAGCAAAAACTTTGGATCAAGCAAAAGCGATATTGACATTTATAGAGGCAATATCTGAAAAAACATTAAAAACCACAATTACATTAACAGCCTCTCGCGGTCGTGGTAAATCTGCTGCACTTGGTGTCGCAATTGCTTCTGCTATTGCTTCTGGATATTCAAATATATTTGTGACTTCTCCAAGTCCTGAAAATTTAAAAACCCTATTTGAATTTATTTTCAAAGGATTTGATGCTTTAGAATATGAGGAACATTTAGATTACGATATTATTCAATCTACAAATCCTGATTTTAATAAAGCAATAGTCCGAGTTAATGTATTTAAACAACATCGTCAAATTATACAAGTAATATTCCAACAAAATTTTTAATATATATTTATGTTAATATATTTTATATGATTATTGATATAATATATTTGCATATATTAGTATATTCAACCACAAGATTTTCACGTTTTAGGTCAGGCTGAAATAGTTGTGATAGACGAAGCAGCAGCCATTCCTTTACCATTCGTTAAAAATCTATTAGGACCATATTTGATATTTATGGCATCAACCATTAATGGTTATGAGGGTACGGGAAGATCTTTATCTTTAAAACTTATACAACAGTTGCGTGAACAATCAAAAGGTTTTATAGGAAAAGGGAACAATAGGCCTAATATTAATGAAGATTTGACAATTGTGAGAAGAGACGGAAAATCCAAATCAAGTCAACAAACAGGTGTTTTGGATGGTGTTTCAGCTGGTGGTAGAATTTTACGCGAAATTAAATTAGATGAACCTATTCGTTATGCACCAAATGATCCAGTTGAAAAATGGCTCAATAAACTCTTATGTTTGGACGCCACCATTATTTCTAAAAATATTCAAGGCTGTCCTCACCCTCAGCAATGTGATTTATATTATGTTAATAGAGATACTTTATTTTCATTTCACCCTGTATCCGAAACTTTCTTACAAAGAATGATGGCGCTTTATGTTGCTAGTCATTATAAAAATTCACCGAATGACTTACAATTAATGTCAGATGCTCCAGCACATCATTTGTTTGTTTTATTGCCTCCTTTAAAAGAAGGAAATGCCTCATTGCCCGATCCTTTGTGTGTTATACAAGTTAGTAATTGAAACAATATATTTAAAAGGAAAAATTTATTATTATTATTATTTATAGTTTTTGTATCTATAAAGGTTTGTCTTGAAGGCGAAATATCTAAACAATCTATTCTGAATAGCTTAAGTAAAGGTCAACGTGCTAGTGGAGATTTAATACCTTGGCTTGTTTCTCAACAGGTTTTTTTTAAATTTTATTTATATACATACTCATATTAATGATTAATCTTTAGTCTTTAAAAATTTTTTAAAATTTAATAAATAGTTTCAAGATAATGATTTTGCAAGTTTATCTGGCGCCAGAATCGTCAGAATCGCAACGCATCCTGATTACATTAAGGTACCACTACTACTAATTAAGAATATCTTGTAGAAATAATATAAGATGTAAAGATCTCTTCTTGTTTGAACTGAAATTTTTAGATGGGTTACGGTTCAAGGAGTATAGAATTATTGACATCATTTTATCAAGGTGAATTTGCCTCTTTGAATGAAAATGACGGGTATCAACAAGAAGATATTGTAAGAGTGAATGATGTGGAATTAGAAGTAATTATTCTCATATAATTAATTAATCAATTGATAGTTTGATCAGTGATTTATTTTAAATATTTTTATATATTATATGTATCATATAGAATGACAATTTACACAACGAAGAAATTAAAATACGAGATCCATGTAAAATGCCACCGTTATTTCTGAAACTTTCAGAAAAACGGCCTATTAGATTGGACTATTTGGGTGTTTCTTATGGTTTGACTCCTGCTTTACATAAATTTTGGAAACGAGCCGGGTTTGTGCCACTATATCTTAGGCAAACTCCTAACGATTTAACCGGTGAATACACGTGTGTAATGTTAAAAGCGCTTAAAAATGATAATAATGATAACCAAGATTTTGCAACTTGTAATCCAAGTTGGTTGGCTGAATTTTCAAAAGATTTTTACAAAAGATTTTTGAATTTATTATCATATCAGTTTCGTGATTTCACAAGTATACTTGCATTGAGTATTATGGAAGCTATTGATATTTCTGGCGGTAATATTGATGCTGATAATAGAGAATGTAGGTGTCCCAAAAAATTGTGATTGTAATTGATTAAATAATTATTATTTGTATTAATTGTTTGTTGATTTATTTATTTAGTGTTTGATAAAAAGTCTCTCGATAATTATTTTTCGGCTTATGATCTTAAACGTTTAGAATCATATTCAAGTAACATGTTAGATTATCATGTCATTATTGACTTGCTTCCTACTATTTCGAATTTATATTTTGGACGCAAATTAAGTAAAGAAATTAAGCTTTCTGGTGTCCAAAGCTCAATATTATTAGGCATAGGATTGCAAAGAAAAAGTATAGATAATCTAGAGGTATGAAAAAATCAAATTGAATATGAATTAACTAATTATAAAAATTGAATTTATTAATATTTATTATATATTCGCGTGTTTATATTGTTAGAAAGAATTATCATTACCATCGAGTCAAATCTTGGCTCTTTTTATAAAGATTATTAGAAAATTTTCTTTGCATTTTCGATCATTAGAAACAACAGAAATACAAAAAGAAATTCCAGATGAAACCACTATAATAAAGAAAAAAGTCATAAAGAACAACAAAAACGATGAAAATAATAATGCTGATCATCAAGAAGAGGGTAGCAAAGATGAAGATCATCAGGATAATGATTCATCGTGGGATCCTATCCAAAAAACTTTGGATGAAGACTTAAAAGAAGCCGGTAATGAAGTCATGAATCAAATGGTTGAAAAACAAAGAGAATTGATTAATTCATTGGATTTATCAAAGTGATTTATCGTTATCATTTTATATAGGTTTTTTTATTTTCTAACAAATCTTAATTCATACATATGTATATACATTTATTTATATGTTTATATGTTCTCTAATTTCAGATACGCAATAACAGAACCATCTGAAGGTTGGGATACGGCAGAATCTGTAATTGCGACAGGGAAAAAGAATGTATCTACAATTGTTAGTGTAAAGAATATGAAATCTACAAAAAAACGTAAACATTCCGAAACAGCAATGGAAATTATGAAAAAAGAACTGACTAAACAAAATAGTAAAACTAAAGGGAAAAAGTCAAAAAAATTTAAAAAAAATTAATACATAAAAATCTTTATTTAAGTTAAAATTATACCTTAATCTTAATTAAATAAAAATATTATTTAATATATTATTACTAAAACAGTTTAGTTAATATACATTACAATAAATACAAATTAAATTATAATTTCAATTATTTTTTTTTAATTTAGCAGCCTTCTATTTAATTGTTAGGTGATAAAATCTGTATTGCTTTGTTAAGGTCATAATCACTATCTTCAAGTGCCTTTATAACCTTCTCTCTTGGAAAACCCATTTCTTTTAAAGTTTTTACATCTTCTATATCATCATCATCATTATCAATGGTGGTGGCAGTAGCTGTAGGAGGTTTGAAATTTGAATTGGATGATGATAATGAAGGTGTATTAGATTTGGCATTTTCAGAATCAAAAGATAAATTTGTTTGTGTTTTTTGTATTTCATTTCCTTTCAAAAAATCACCAAAAGCATCTTCAAATTCATGATTATTTTCAGCTTTTGCTTCCTCAAAAGTGCCTCCGAACGCAGCATCTAAAACTGTGGTGTTTGGCTTTATTGATTTATTACTATTGTTTGAAGCTAAAGGATCAAAAAATGAAAATCCATTATCTGAACCAAGTAAATCAAATGTTGATGATGATGATGTATTAGCATTGCTACTAATTTTATTATTATCATCGTTATTATTATTATAATTACTATTAATATTATTGTTGTTGTTGCTATTAATAATATTATTTTTGAAAGATATTGATTTGGGATCAAAATTTTCATCAAAGTCGAAATTATTATCAAAGTTAACAGGAGTAGTTTCCATGACTTTTGCTTCAGTTAGACCAGTAAAAATAAAATCAAGATCTTCTGACGAATGAGCATCTTTGGTATTAGTTGAAGGTTTCATTAATTCTTTTAATAAATCAGTTGATTCATTTTTAAATGCATTTTCAACTTTATCTTCATTCATAAATGGCGAGGCAACCTTTTCATCTGATGAATTTGGTTTAGTTTCAGTTGCGCTTGACTTTTCAGTTTGTTTAACAGCCGTTTCGTCTTTTGGATCAGCAAACAAATTATTTTCTTTTTTATCTGAATTAAAATCATTTTCAAATTTAAAATCATTTTCGAATGCAAATGTTAAGCCTTCAAGTTCCTCTAACGATGGAAATTTCTCGGAATTAAAAGTGTCAGTTAAGAATGGATCATCGTCAGTCTTATTTGTAGACTCAAGTGTCGCAAATGCAGAATCAAAAGCTGATTTGTCTGATGTTGACTTTTTAAAATTATTAGAAGAATTAAATGGATCAACAGTTGAAGTTGCGCTATCTTCAATGGGAGGTTGTTGAAATATATTTTCATTTTGTTCATTAAAAAAATCTGCAGATTCTTTTTCCGGTTCATTAAATATTGATTGAAAAATATCGGAGGAATTATTATTTGATGGAGTTGGCGTTATTGTTGATGGTGTAGAAACAAAAACATCATCGATATCAGGTGAATTATTACTACTTTTTTCAAAATTTTTTAAGGTCTCTAATGATTTTTCTCTTTCAGCCTCGACAGTCGCTAATTGCTTTTTATTAATTGCAAGTAAACCTTTTTGTTGTCTATTTCCTTTCTGAATTTTTTCAATTTCGGCTTTAATCGATACTGTTTCTTCTTCAACTAATCTCATTTTCTTTTTCAATTCATTTATTTCATCTTTATCTTTTTGGGTGTTTTCTTTTAATTGTTCCTTCTCCAATTTTATAGCAGCTAAAGCTCTTTCAGCTTGTGCAAGTTCTCCTTTAGCTCTTTCAAGATTCTCATTTTCCAATTGATATTGAGTTTGAATCTCTTTTACTGTCTTAAATTCAGCTTCATACAAAGAACGTGTTTGTAAGAAAAGATCTTTAAATTCTTGTTTTTGTATTATTAAATTAGCAAGAGTTGATTCTAGATTGTTTTTTTGTATTTTTAATTCATCATTTGAACTGCTAAGAATATCAATTTGAGTTTCATAATTCTTTATTTCACCACTTTCAATTGCAATTTTAGTATTTATATCAGGGTCCCCAAGCAAATCAATTATTGGTAGTTCTGCAAGTTATTCCCCCAAAAATTAAAAATTTTTTTTAATAAATTTATAATAATAATTGTAAAAAGTTCAAATATTTACAATTTACCTTTGGGAACAGCTTTGTCTGAAAGAAAAATGTTTTGTGAGTCTGTAGGGTCATTTAAATCAAAGAAATTTTCTATTGAACGATGTGATACCAATGATGAAGTTGATCCAATATTTGTTTTTGGAATATGACCAATGGTTGAACCTCTTTTTAAAAAATGACTAGCTGCTTTGTATTAATTAATTATTTTAAAATTTAGATTTATAAAAATGATTTTTATTTTAGATGGTCTTTATTTATAATGATTTTACCGGTAGTGTGACGCATTGATGGTGGAATAAGACTTGTTGGTAAAATGGTTGGCAATGGAAATCCTTTTAACTTTTTTTGGATCAAATACATAGCAACAGCAAATTTTTCATGATTTAGATGTCCAGTTTTATCTATATCAGAAAGGTCCCTAAAAAATATGTATAAATATATATTATTTACAGTCTCTTTCCTTTTTAAAAAATATTAAATGAAAAAAAAAGAACTATGAACCATATCATTGCCAATGTAGCTTGGTTCAATTTTGATTTCATAAAAAAATTTGCAGCCTCATCTCCTATACCAGTTTAAACCTAATTAGTAAAATCTAATTATTTTGTTCTAAATTTAAAGAAATTTTATATATAAATTAAAAAATCGCGTTTAACCTGTTAAAAATCCACGTTTCTTCTCATCAATACGCTCAAAAAATTTATCATAATTTGCTTTATCTTCAGGTGTCACATCCCATGAATCCTCTATAAACGGAGATTTTGTATTAAACCCATCTGTAAAACTCCTGGCAGCAGGTGAGATCAAAGGGCTTGATGAATTTCCTAAAAAAGGTGATGGTGATGGTGATGATGGTGGTGATGAAGGCATATTAAGATTAATACCAGCAACCATTTCATAAAATCCATTTGGAAGAGTTTGTGGGATTTCTTTAATATTTTTGTTCATATATTGTTTTATTAGATGCATTGCAATGATAAATTCGTTTACATCAAGTTTTCCTCTATTTTTTGTGTCGGCTAATTTCCTAAATAATTTAAATTATAAATATTGTATCAATTAAAAAATTCAAAAAATAAATAGATTAACTACTATCTATTACCAAATTTGACGGAGTGTTTCTAATGATAATTTAGATCGCAAAAAAATTTCTCTTGCTTTGTTGCCTTAAAAACAATTTCTTTTATTAAAAATAATAATTGTTTAAATTTCATCGCATATTTATTAGTTTAATCTTTTTCATAATTACCATCTACAAGACCATTTTCAGGCTCCAATCTTAAGAAACTTTTTCTATAATTTTCACGAATATCATCAGTAATAATATAACCCGTTTCCACGTTAATGCCCTCAAAACGTGGTAATGGTACCTCTAAATTATAACAAAGAAAAACTTTAAAAAATTTCCATGAAACTGAAAATTTTAGAAATATAGACAAAACATACTAGTTTTTAATAAATTCATGTCAGGCTTTTGACCATTTTGAACCAAAGCAATTAATTTAACAGCAATGATAAAAGTTTGTGTTGTTAAAACGCCTTGATTCTCATAATCAGCTAAATTCCATATCTATTATTAATCAAATATGGTAAGAACATGTAGTTGTTAAAACCTTTTTTTTTTTTTTTGCTTACTTCGCTCAAAGCAGTTGAAGATAAATTTGACTTCTTCAAAAAATCTGCAGCATATTTTCCTTCAATAACACCTTTTTTCCCTTCATCAGCTACTTGAAATAATTGGTGATATACATATTTTTCTTCAGGATATAAAATGATCTCCGGCCCTTCTTTTAATAAAACATAATTAAGCGAAAGGAGTTAGGAGAAATATGATTAATAGTAATTAAAATGGACTATTATATCATACGTACCCTTCTTCCTTAATAGAGACATTGATTATGCAAAAACAATAAACTTCTTCAAAGTTAGGCTATTCTTGATTGATTTTTAAAGTTATAAAAAAACTCAATAGATTGTGCTGAATCTTTTTTACCAAATTTGTCAAGATTATTAGAATAATGTTATAAACTCGTTTTTTTTTTTAATGAAGTGCTCATAGCTTATTATTATAAAAGACCTATTGGTGAAGTTACCAAATTAGGAAAAAATTTCGTTAATCTCAAACCTTATATTCTATGGGGACCTTCCTCGTCGTAAATTATCAAAATGGGCCAGCCGAGAGAATTTTAAACGGATTAGCTGCCCGGTAATTGACTTTCAGCCAATAATAATAAAACATTTACAAATTACTAATATGATTAAATGTTACATAGGTAAACTCGATAAGTTGGCCTCTTGATAAGTCGGATTTGGCCTAACTCGGCCAAAATTTTTCAGCCCTATTTTTCAATATTTAAAATCTTGATAAGTATATAAAATCGCGATAAGTTATAAAGTCGGCCGACCCTTCTTCTAGGATATATTGTAAATTACTCTCAATAAGGAGGTTTCACGTGATATTTGCGTTGAAGAGGTAGACACCAGATTTATTTGCATAATTTTTGCGTAATTTTAATCTTTAATATTAAATGCATAAATTATTGGAGGGTGTCACAGTTTAATTAAATAATATATTTTTATTCAATCATCAATAAATAATTTCAAAAAAAATATTATATTATGTGGGAAATCAGATTACTTTGGATTAGGATTTTAAATAAATCAGAAATTCTTTTATGTTGTATGAATGCAAAAAAAATTTAAAATAAAAGTTTAAAATTTTTAACTGGGGTGAAAAAAGGTATAAAAAAATTAGATTTACGCACTGCTATGATAAAAATGAGTACAGTGCGGATCATCTATACTCAAAAGTTAAAAATTTGAAATATAATGTTGGAAAAACCACTCACTGCAATAAATAATTTTTGTGTTACAATATTTTGAATTATATAACCAAATTTGGGAATGATTTTCTTTTGATGTAATATGTTTGTTTGAACTTTTTTATTGTAAAAAAAGGAAATAAACAATATAAATAAATCAATATATGGGCATGTTAATATAACAGGAGAACCAATCAAAATCATTATGATCATTTTTGAAAAAATTGATCGTTGATTAATGGCTAATTCTAATTGGTTAATTAGACAATGAATGGAAGTGCAAAATTGTAGTTTTTAAATGTTTTGAATGACTTCATTATTAAAAACTAAAAAAAAAATCAAAATATATTTCTCTATTGAAGAAATCAACCAAGACTTTTTTTAAAAAGTGGAAAGACACTCACCTACCATAAGTATCCAGCCACCCAAGTCATGTAACATCAAATGAAAAGAGTCCTTACTAAAAAAGTAATGTTTTCTTAAATAAAACTGTTTTTACTTTACTAAGTAGATTTGTACTTGATATCAAAATCTCTAAATTACAAAAGCTTCGAAAGGTTCAGTATGGTATTAATGAAAGCATTTAGCAAATAGTCCAAAAAAGCAAATTTTCAATTGGAGTCTTTACATATAATAAAGGTCAAATTTCTTCATTGTAATGCATATTATTTCATTAATAAAATGTGCTCAACGTAACAGATTACATACATCCACAATATGGTGTTGGCATAAATTAGTTCGTGAAAAGGATTTAAAAAAGTATCCGACCACCCTGTAGTTTTATCATATAAAGCACTTAATAAAGTTGACAAAATGCAAATTTTAAGGCTTTACGTTTTGTTGTCTATACTTGAT